TTCTTGTAATTGACGTACCGCCCTGTGTGGTGAATATTGTATCGAATGAGTGTACTGGTGTGGCTGGTTAATTAATATAAGGTGGTGTTCAAAAAAAAATCAAGACAGTACAACGAATACCAAAAATAATAGAAATTACATCCAGATCCGTAGACCACCTAGCGAAGACTACCAGCACTTAAGCGAGCCGAAGGCGCACCGCCATCATCGCCCCTCCGTCGCCGGAGTCGGGCACAACTTTCTGTAGTAGACAGTCGGGAAGTCATCGTGCTAAGGCCCCATAGGACCAGCGCACCAGAACATCAACCGCCGTAGAGGAAGAATAACGTAGATCAGAAAGATCCAATCCGAAGACACACAAACGTAGACGAACAATGACGAGATCCGAGCAAATCCACCAAAGATAGTTCCGCCGGAGACACACCTCCACACGCCCACCAACGGTGCTAGACGCACCATCGGAACGGGGGCTAGACAGGGAGACCTTTATTCCATCTTCAGGGAGCCGCCACCATCTCATCTTTCTGAGTAGGACACAAACCCTAGCAAAACTGAAAGAAACAACTAAAAACGGAGCCCTCCCGCCGGCCCTTGCCAAGATCCACCACACCCCATGGCCCTAGGGCCACTGGAGAGGAGGCGGACCTGCAGCGGCGCCGGTAGGAGGTAGAAACCCTAGCTTTTGTGGAGGAGGAGGTGGCGACGGCTATGACGTTTGCAAGGCATCCACAGCCGGTGTGTTGTGTATGCCCTCCTCTTGTTGGTTCTTAGTTGAACTAAATTCACCTTGCTAATTATACGTTGGTTATTGATTTCTCTCTATATCTCATGATGCTCAGTTTTTCTAATATGTTTTTAAGAAGGTCAGAAGAAAAGATGGGTAAAATTACTTGAATGGTTGCTTGGTTACATTCACCGAAAAAGATTTTTTTTTCTTGCAAGTTAAGGAAAGGGACAAAGCATCAAGGATCAGCGAGTTATCATGTGACTGTAATCCATAAGTTTTCTTTTATCATTTGTTATATTCTATCTCTATCTCTATATATCTTAGACAGTTTTGCTAGAACTCATCTAGATGAGATATAATTTGGTGTCATTCAACTTTTATAGCCATTGGATGTGATGCTATAAGATTAAGGATGGCAATGGGTCGGGTTTGGACCGGGTTGTAAAATATCAAATCCATATCCATATCCATGAAGATAGTCTTTGCCCAACCATGAAAATATCCATGGGTGAAAAATTGTGTCCATGTCCAAACCCGTCGGATATCCATACCCATTGGGTATCCATTGGGTCCTCTCGAGACATATAAATAAGACATAATACAATGTTAACATAAGCTCTTCCAGTCTTCACCTCGTGGCAGGCTAGACCTCACTTACGGTAAACATCAACTTATGGTAAATCAACGCCCACTAACAACCAATATCATTTAGGATTTTTTTTCTAATAGATGAGAATGACGAGTCATTTAACAAGGAGATAAAAATAAGAGAAGGGGTGTTGGAATATGTTATGGATGGGACTGAATGTCAACTATTAAAAGTTACGACGGGGATTGTGCAATTTCTTTTGCATGTTTTAGATAACAAAGTGTAAAATTGCAGCGGGGCATGTGACTGTGGGGTAGGGATAGCGATATTTTCCCAATAAGGCATACTATCGGGTCGGGTTTGGATATATCCACGGGGACAAGATTATATCCATGTCCTGCCCATGAGCAATCGGGTCGGGTTTGGGCGCCACCCATGGACACAAAAGCATATCCAAACCCTATCCATTCGGGTCGGATATCCATGGGTATCCATGTCCATGGATAAATTTGCCATCCTTATATAAGATGCGTGTGTGCTGATGTGAATTGTATCTGTTCTTATTTTCAAAGTGAATGAGACCAAATTATACTTCATCTGAATGAGTTCTAGGTACTCCCCATCTTAGATGTTGCTATTTTGATATGTTGAACAAATAGTATTTCTATTTGGTGGATAATTTGAAGTTATGATCAATTTTGTGAATCTATTATATTATGTTATATCTTCATGTATTATCCAGTTTGTATAACTAGAATCAGTCATATACGCCTGCCAAACAAGGCTTTAGTCTTAAAAAAACAGCCTTTGAAATTTCAAATACACACTCTTGAAATCATGGGTTTGCCCCTGACCGATGCCCTCTTCTCCGATGACTTAGCCAGGCTAGGCCAGGCCGCCATTGAAGATCGCCGTGTTGGATCCCTCTAGCCGCTGCCGGCTTCACCAACACTATTGTCGAGCACTGCCTGACAAAGACCGCCGCTCGAGCCCTCATCTCCTTCCTCGTCCGTAGTAGCCCTCCCACACCTCCACAATAGGCCGCCCTCGACCAGGACCTCCCGCGGGCGAAGCACCGCGTCGGCCAAAGGAGAAGAGGATGGGTGGCGGCTAGGGTTTTGGATTACAGCCTCTTCCCTTTCTCTTGCGCCGTGCATATGTAAGAACATGTTGGGTTTTAACGGGCTTATCACGGATGTTAATGTCAGTGGGATGACGTTTGACGCGTTGCTAAGGCCAAATTTGGTTTTCTTAATGAAGAAAATCGTGGGAAAACCCTTTTCCTCTCATTTTCATCTAAAAAAAAATCCAAAGCTGCACGTACCCTGAATCCCCAGATCGAAGCTTCGGTTTTTTTATTATCTATAACTAGCACACGTGCCCGTGCGTTGCAACGAGAGAAAAAAAATATCATAACCCCTACCCCTCTCGCGAACACCACCACCACCCCACACACAGTCCATGGAAGCACCTATATTTTTGCTCCTTCCCACCTCTATGAACGGTGGCCGTTCACGTGGCCACGGCGCTTCGAAAGTGATTAACCCAAGGCGACGAGGTCGGCCATCACATTATCTTTGAACCGTGCCAACAAAGCAATGTTTCTACCCTGCAAAAAAACAAAGCAACATTTATAACTTCAAAAAACTAATCTTGTGAAGGTAGATGTGTGGACCGCTCTCTGCGAGCTACTCATTGATGCACGTCGGTTGCTACAAAATAAAAATTATCTCAAAGCCAAGATGTGCCAGTTCAGTAAAATTCATACTACATCAACCTCAATGTAGTAGTAAATGAAAAAAAAAGACAATACATAATTATTTGTTACATAAATCTGAATTGTTAACAAATCATCCGGTAAAATGCAACAAAAAAAACTTTCCTTCGATGTGCCGTTAAAGATCTTCCGTAGAATGCATCAAAAAAACTCATTTCTTATCCACCGGGAATCCACGTTGTCAACCATGTCCATCCATGAGGACGTTTTCTCGGCGTGATTATTCTCTGATTATTTTCAGATTGTTGCCTAATAAGCTTTTTTTTACTCTTTTGTTGCCTAATAAGCTCATCTCACCAAGCCCGCCCGTTTATAATTAGAGAACCATAGACCACCAAGCCGCTATGCATGCAAGGCAGCACATCTCGCACGAGGCTTTCCCTATGTGCCATTCATTAAGGCACGATCTCACACCAGCCAGCATGATGGAGCACATCTCACGAGTCCGTCTTTATTTAACCAGCGTATATGCATGTCACGAGCCCGTTTTGACCAACGCAGGTAAATGCATGCCGTGCATGTATCCCTCTCCTTCCTTTATTGGCCTCTCTTTCTTATTATATCTTCTTGATCCGATTGAATGATTCTTCTAAACTCACAGTCATATATAAATTGGTAAACTTTTACTCTAAAGGAGCGAGGTGGAACTTTTTAATACTAAGCGAACTCACCACATATCACAGGATAGATATAGCTTAGTTGGTTACAACTGTGGTTTAGTTAGGAGATGTCATAGGTTTGAATCCCAGCCCTGACATTATTTTTTGCTATTTTAAGTAGCCCTAGAGCAGGCCCAACAACTGCACAAGCCCAGAAGCAATGGAGAGGAGGCGGCCCATACCAGCAAACACATACGGGAAGAGTCCTCTATGAGCAATAGATTAAATTAATACCACCTTGCCAACCATCGAAGCTTGAGACCGTACGGAGCTGCGGACGCGTTGAAACAAAAAAAACATAGCGTAGGACCACCTAAGCGGGACGAAATCAAAAATACCTATTCTCTTTAATAATATAATAGGTATAGATATAGATATACCGTGGGTTCTGATTCATTGGATCGTACAAAACCAAACCTTGGATGACGTTTTTCCTTTTTCTTTTTTGCTCTTCTAATCCGACTCCGGGTGTCGGGTGAGTCCGACTGACGCTCCCGTTGGCAGCACCGACTCGAGCTGGATCGATCGTGTCCGTTTCCTACTCAGATCCACGGTACGTGCACCGACACGCGCGTCTCTATATATTGAAATCAGACCAAACTCACGTCGCAACACAAACAGACGCGACGCCTTCCACGGCGCGAAAACGATCGAGACTCCCGCCGACACGACGACGCCACCTCCGTTCCATCAGCAGCCATGGCGCTCTCCGGCGACGGCGGCCCGGTCCTCCTCCACCCGCCCTCCGCGCTGCACCACCACGCCGTCTATCCCGGTCCCGCCCACCACCACCACCCCGGCATGGTCTGGAACCCCTTCCAGCCCACGTACGACCAGCAGCACCTCCTGCCTATGCCCATGCCCATGCCCGGGCCCATGCTGGTGCACATGCAGCCGCCGCCCGTCGACCGGTTCGCCTTCGCCTTCGACGCCCACGCCCGCCGCCGCCGCCGCCGCCGCGGCGGTGTCGGCTCGAGGACGCCCTCGCCGCCCTCGTCGCCCGTGGGCCAGCCCGCCTTCGCCCGCCACGTCCACTGCGCCCCGCAGCCGCCGGCGGAGGTCGAGGTTCCCGCCGTGTGGGAATGGAACCAGGAAGACGAGACGACGCCGCTTCTCCCGCCGCACCCGGTGGTGACCATCGACACGGAGCTCCCGGGCGCGCTGCACAGCTCCGCCACGCCGTTCTACCCGAGGGGCCCCTATGAGGTGGAGGTGCGCGACGTGTGGAAGTGGAACCTGGCCGAGGAGATGGCGGCCATCACGGCGCTGCTGCCGACGCACCCGGTGGTGACCATCGACACGGAGTTCCCGGGCACGGTGTACGACTCGGCCACGCCGCGCAAACTGCGGAGCCCGAAGGAGGCCTACGCGCTCGTCAGGCGCAACGTGGACCGCCTGAAGCACCTGCTGCAGCTCGGCCTCACCCTCTCCGGGCCCAGGGGCAGCCACCCGGTGGTGTGGCAGTTCAACTTCCGGGGCTTCGACGAGAGGCGCGACCCGCACGCGCCGGAGTCCATCGCCATGCTCAAGGCCCACGGCATGGACTTCGCCAGGCTCCGCGAGGACGGCATCGACCCGGGCGACTTCACCGACGAGTTCATGCGCTCCGGCCTCAACCACCGCCGCCCGCGCCGGGGCAGAAGCGCCCCCGAGCCCCTCACGTGGGTGGCCTTCTCGGGCTCCTACGACTTCGGCTACCTCGCCAGGATGCTTTACCAACGAGGCAAGAAAGGCTTGCCGCAGAAGCTCGAGGACTTCGGAAGGCGCGTGGAGAACCTCTTCGGCCCGTGGGTGCTCGACGCCAAGTACATTGCCAAGACCTGCCGCTTGGACGGTGGCCTGGAGACGGTGGCCAACGACCTCGGCGTCCAGCGCCGCGCCGGCGTCGCCCACAACGCCGGCTCCGACAGCCTTCTCACCGCCGACGTGATGCTCGCCATTGTGTTGCGCCTCGAGGCCCCCCCCAACCCCGACTACGAAGTGCGCGAGAAACACGCCGGAAAGATCGACGGGCTCGTCTAACTGCACGTACTAGCTAGACTTGTACAAAGATATTAATTAGTACTATGTTACTAGTACTCTATAATAAAGAACCCAAGTGATTCAGTTTTCTTGCTCGTTGCATTCTTCTACGCTTGGATATGTAATTCCCTTCATCTCTTCGTTCCTTGACCACATGAACCCTGAAAAACTTAACTAGTGATGCTCGCCTCGGCGCGCCCCACCGCTTATAGAGTAGCGACAGAAAAAGACACGTACGTTGTTTATAGGTATACAAACGGCGTCGGTAGTTCAGGAGCGGATGCAGATTGTGGTCTGCATTGGCGGCATCTGGCGGGGAGGACCAGGCAGATCGGGGCGGGTGCATGCGTGGTGGCCTCCGTTCATGGCCTGGCCGGGGTGGCCCAGATCGTCCGCGACTGCATAGAGTGGACGAACCCATGTCCAAGGCGGAGCTGCTCCGGCAGTCAAGCGGATTCAACCCCGGATCCCGTTCGATACAGAGACCATGAAGAGTGTGCTTGGGATTCATCCTAACAGCTCTTCTAGCATGGCGCGGTGGGGTGGCATCCCTCTCTCCATGCTCCAGTAGTGGCACCCTTCTGCCGTGGCCGGAGCGTCAGGACACATTACGGTGGGAGTGACTCTGGATGATCGCTGGATCTGGGCGGCTGGCTCCGGGGCATTGAAGGTGGTCTTGCAGATGCATAGGTTGTCGGTTGGATGTTCTTGGGATGGATCCGGGTGAGAACCTGGTCTTCGGCCGGTGGCCGGGGCAGGTGATGGTGACGCCCTTGGCGTCGCTTCCTTCATGAAGGCATCATCGAGGTGTAGCTACCAACTCCTCTCGCTACCTCCAGGGGAAACCCTTGATCAAAGATCGGATGAAGGCGGCGCTCTTATGGCGTTCCCTCCTTGGGGGTTATTGTTGGAGGTGTGCATTGGCTAGAGGGACCAATGGACGGTTTTAGCGGTGGAGCGGTGTCCCATGTCATGCAGCTACGATGTGGAGTCTCTGCAGCATGGCGCAGCAGGGTATCGACAATGGATGTATGATGATGGACATGCGTACACTACTAGGGAAAAGCCTATACACAGAATCTTACCAGCAGCGCTCCTAAAAATACCACGCTACTGCTATTTAGCAGCAGCGCGTTTAAACAAAACGCGCTGCTGACAGGAAAATAGCAGTAGCGCGTCCACCATAAACCGTGCTACTGCTATAATTGCCATGACCTCGCCCCCCCCTCCCCCCCGCTAGTTATAGCAGTAGCGCGCTGTACTGAACAGCGCTGCTGCTATAGAAGTTAGCAGCAGCACGCTTCTAGGAAAACCTCTACTACTAAGATCAACCCACAAGTTTAGTCCCACCTCGCTCCGTGGACAGGGTCTTTACCACCTTAAATATGTTATTTCTGAAACTACCACAACCAGTTGGTCTTCACTGAACTCTATGTGTAAAATTTGTGGCCGCAATATGAGTCCTCTCCGGTTTCTACCGGAGGGGACTCATATTGACAATTCAGATTGCACACAAAAAGATCATTGATGGCCAATGTATTTTTGCACTGACGTATTTTTTGTATAGTTACACTTAGCAGTAGCGGTTTACATGCAAAGCGCTACTGCTATTCAGATTAGCTGTAGCGCGTTTTGGCAAACGCGCTACAACTATCCCTACCTTATCCCCACGCGCACGACCGGCCCTCACTCACACTCTCGCTCTCGCCCGCGTGCCGATAACCGTCGTCGTGCGTCGCCGCCGCCTTCGTCCGTCCGCCGCCGAGGTACTCCCCTCCTTCCGCCCCTCCTCCCTCCTCCCTCCGCCTGCGGCCGCCCCTCCCTCCTCCGCCGCTGCCCTCCTCCCTCCGCCTGTGGCCGCCCCTCCTCCCTCCTCCGCCGGCAGCCCTCCTCCCACCGCCCTCGACCTCGCCGCCCCTAGCTACCTCTCTGTCGCCCCCCACCTCCTGCCACTAGTTAGTACTAGATTTAGTAGTAGTAGATGTTAATTTAGGGTTCATAGCTAGTACTAGATGTTGCTTAGTTAGTACTAGATTTTTAGTAGTAGTAGTTGTAGTTGAACTACTTTAGTTGTAGTTGAACTAGTTTAGTAAGTAAATTAATAAACTAGTTGAACTAGTTGAATTAATGGAACTAATGTGTTTTTAGTAAGATAATTAATATAACTAGTTGAACTACTTTATTTTTAGAAAGAACTAGTTTTTTTTCTATTTATAGTAAGTCTATATTTAGTAAGAACTAGTTGAATTAATAAAACTAGTTGGACATGTCATATTTGTTGTTATTTTTTAGTTTAAGCAATTATTCGGGATGTATTAGTGATAACTTATATGGTTTCAGGTGACCACCGTCGTCCCAGTCATCGACCCCCTCCGACATCCCCGCCGTCGTCCCAGTCACCGACCCCCTCCGACATCGAGGTGAGACCAGCCAAATATCCTTGTATATCTTGTGTTGTTGCTCAAATAGGATATGTGGTTGCCCAAGTGGCCGTTCATGTTCAGTTTACATCTCCGAGTGGCCTATGTTTTGCCGGAGTGTTGATTAATTTCCGTTCCGGCAAATTTCAGGCGCTCGATATGTCCTTTTTTAGCAAAGGTCATGCCGGATTTTTTCGTGAATTCTGGCATGACTTGTGCTAAAATATGTACAAGTTTAATCTTTGAATTATGAATGTAGGAAATGTCGTACTCGGACGACGACAGTCTCCCGGGGGAGTGTAGCTGGTGCCACGACGATCGAGGTATGTGCGACAGGTTCGTTCGGCTGGACGAAGATCGGCGCTTCACCATTAAGCTCGAGGAGACCTTCGATTGTGAAATGGTACGCAACAACGACAAGTATTTTTTTCGTAATTAAGCCTGACTTCAACTATTTCAACGTCTATTTTTCATATTTTACAATTCGACTAGCTTATCCCATGCCATGCAAGACGCTATGTCTTGGAGAGGATGGGTTTTGAAGACCATGAAAATTTCAAAACAAAGAAAATATACCTAAGAACCCATCATGATATGGATTTTGTAGTAAATCTATGCAATGCTCAGAGCGTAACCCATTTTGGTTGCCAAAATTGGGAAGCACTTTGCAAAATGTATGGTTTTTATGAGGGTATGATTGTCACCATGGATCTTGGTGATCCTGACATCGAGCAAGATAATATGGACATTTGGGTCCTTGTTGATACGCTTTCGATTGTACCGCTACGTAAGTTTCTCAAACATAGTTATTAACTAATATATATTGTTTATTTCAAAATAGTTGATAGCTTATTTCCATTGACAGCTTATTTTGATTCTTCAAAGACTGTGCGGAAGATGGTAGATAAAACCCACTACACCGATAGCACCAAATTAACGTATAAGGAGAAAAATCATCTGATCGCATTTTGTACTCTTCTTGAGAATTACAATAACTATTATCGAACTCCTCCAAATTATGGTGAATACGTGCCACTAGTGCATGTGTTGAACCACGGTAACTTCTATGGAGATACCCTGGTAAGATTTTTTACTATTACGACATCCGTGCATCTTTTGCATACTTCTAAAACTAGTACATCATTGCTAACTACGAAGTTATTATTATGTTTTTCAACAGAAACTCCCGATGGATTGTGTGCCTCATCTGATGTCTCTGCATGGTCGCCTCTCAGTTCTGAACATACTGCCAGGTAAATCTACGGAGCTCACCTGTGCATATCGAATTTCTAAAACCCATGAACACATGTTCATCAAAGAATGGAAGAAATGTATGGACATTCGCAAGGAGGTTCTTGGAAGTAACATTCAGTGAAAGGCAAGAATTGGAGACAGGCTAATCTCCATTCTCCATAATGGAGAGTCGGGGGCTATCTTATTTTTTGCTATTTTACCTTAGAAAATGTAGTAGGTCTTAATCGAATGTAATAGGTCCTATGAGGTACAATATGTTTATTATGTGGTAATGTGTTAGAGTTGATAATGAGGAGTACTTGTGATTACGACTAGTGACCAATTTGCTATGTGATGTCATTGATGAAAACAATGATCTTGAGGAGGTGTTATATGAGAATGATGTATTATGATGATAAGTTGTTAATGATATGATGATGATGATGATATTGTTATATCATTGGGTGAAAGAACCGCGGATTAGTTTCAAGTGGATGGACATCCACTTGAAACTAGTCCACGGTTCTTTTATCCCATGATGTAATAACTCATTATGATGTAAAAACAATCTCTAAATTCCTGTTGTATGAAAACTTATGTAAAGATGTATGAATACAACATGAAATAAAAAAGAAATAAAATACAAAATAATAGTAGTAGCGCGGGAAAGGAGAAGCGCTACTACTAATTAACAGTAGCGCTGTTCTGAAGAAGCGCTACTACTAAGTCAATTTAGCAGTAGCGTGGGTCTAGGCGCGCTATTGCTAATCATTAGTTGTAGCGTCTTATCAGTAGCGCTCCTTCCCGCGCTACTGATAGACCTAAAACCCGCGCTACTGCTAGGCTTTTCCCTAGTAGTGGTATGGAGGTGGCGTTGTCTGGCGCCATGGTGGCGTCAACGGCAGACCAGCCAAGGTCGATGCGTCAATACCTACTTTGAAGATGGATCGGTGGAAGACGGCGACGACAACCTCTCAAAGTGTGCCGGACCGTTGTGTGCCCCAGACCTGCCAAAAGGCTTGGCTAGGGCCTCCGGCTTTAGATGTTATGTTTTGGTGCGAGGTCTGTTTGGTATTTGGCTCAGACTTTATCAAATGGTTAGTACTTGCGACAGATGTTGCCATGATGGTGGCTTCAGATTTACTGATGTATTACTTTGTAAAGACTTTCTGAATAATTAATAAACGAAAATGTTAACGCCCACATGTGTGGGCGTTTGCACCTCGCCCACACGCGTGGATCCGCGTCCCTTCGTGAGCGCACGAATCTTGACATGTTTCTAGTGCCACGTAGGACTGGCCTGGTGTGTGGGCGTTCACTCGGTCGCTCACACGGCTGTTTCACCAC